GGGGGTATAAGGAAACCCGGAGTTTGCCAAGGCGCTTATCTCGAGAGTATATCGGATCTCGCGGGAAGGTAATTAGTAATCTATACAGGGATTCTATATATATCCTAAGGCCGCTAGTAGGATATACGACTTATACGCCGACCACGTCTGCCGAACACGTTCTTCTATAGCTGTAGGACCTATTGTTTTCTCTAGGGCGTATATATAATTTAGACGCGTTTTTATATATAGGTCCTAGATATCTATACTTGATATATATATCGTTTTAATATAGATATCTATATACTATATATATATATATATAACCCCTGCTAGCAGTTATCCTAGTAGTGGCGAACGAACGGATAACAACTTATATTCGAAATTAATAACGCCTGGGGGGGGGCGACTTACGTATAGTTCTTATACTTATTATCTAGAATAACGTCGGCGGTACAGTGGTGCGGTAGAGTGTTATTAGTCCGGAAAGATAGGTAGTATCGTTGCCCGGCGTGACTAATGCCGGGATTCGGCAGCTGCCTAAACCTTAAATTGCCCTAGTGGGGTAAATTTACTTTCTCTCTCTCACTTCACTACCTTACTACAACACCTCTACAACACCCGTACCTCCGTACCTTCACTAGCGCCGTCGATACCTACCTTCGTAATCAGACCGAGTTCTTCTTCAACTACTACACCAACATTAGAAACCTCACCATGCCGAAACGCAAGAGCAATGCCCTAGAGGCACTAGCAAACAAGCGCGCAAAGCTCGGCGCAGCCTCGAAGTCACTCGAGGAGTACTCCCTTAAGCCAAACACTTTACGAGACCGAGAGCGTACTGCCGCTATGGACGAAGAAAAGAGGGCACAGGATCGATACCGCAAAGCGCGCAACGAATCCTTCGCGCGATTCAAAAAGGTACAAATCAAGGAGTATACGAGTTTCGAAAGCCTCGCTAAAGATAAGTAACAGGAACTTATCGAGGGCTGGAGAAAGATACATACAAAGGAGTATAATCAAAAAGCGTAAGTACAAATATGGTCGGCGGATATGGTCGGCAGATTTGAGTACTAACTTCTGATTTAGTACAAAGAAGCAGACTGGAAAGAGTGCAACACTTCCTCCCGATAAGCAGGCAAAGATTGATGAAGCCGACTGGTTTCTCGAACTCGGCAATATCGACTCTAAGGAACGATTGACATTCTAGAAAGAAGACCAGATTGAGTGGGAATAGGAGCATCTATCTATTAGCGAGGAGTGCGACAAAGGGGTTGGCGGCCTTAGCAACTATTGCCTTCCCTCGGAATCAGTTCTCAATCCATTCTCGACTCTACAGATAGAGGAAGCGAGGGCTAAGTCTATTGGTACCTTTGCTATCCAGGCATCCTCTTCCACTTTTTCGACGGCCTACAATCAATAGCGCTCTTCTATTCACCACTTCTGGGACAAGATTGTTATCCTTGAGAACCTGGATATACTAAATAAGAAAGGCATAAAAGAGGTCTTGAAAATCGTTGGCAGCGAGACAATGAAGGTAAATATCTGCCGACCATATTTGCCGACCACAGAAACTAATCACAATTCCAGATTTGCATTAAAGAAGTCCGAATGCTATTACTACATAAGATCTTCTCGCCTATTGAGCGAGCCGTTTGCCGGAATGTCCTATCGTAGGATACTAAAGCTCAAGCCTACTATGGAGGGCGATTGCCAGGCCCTTCTTGGCTTATTCCCGCTACCTACGACTATGCAGCTAACGGCTTTTTGCCTTTAAAGACAATGAAGGAGAACAAGCATCTCGCAAAGATGGCGTACAAGATGTGCGAGAAAGAGAACTCTCTTACGAAGGAACAGACAATGTGGCTAGTAGTGATGGAAAGCCTTATCTATTGTAGCGTAAAAGAGTATACTGGTATTACTCTCGAAGCTATCCTGCTCCTCCTCCTCTAAGAAGACGAACTCTGCCTCTCGATTTCTGGTCTCGAGGAACTGGTTGAGAAGGACAAGAGACTGGCTACCCTTGTTAAAGTTTAAGACTAAGAAGCGGAAGCGATGGGTAAATAGCAAGCGACGCCTGAACCAGGGTTTCGATAGGTTGGCTCGGATGTGGCAGAATGTCGGCATATCCTATTGGCTATACCCTTGTTATAGCGTAACACTATGATTGAG